TTTTTATTGTTAATTCTAAATAGTCTCGTGAAAATTAAACTTAATCCGGGAAAGAAATATGTGACAATTTTCACTTGTTTTCCAGTCACATATTGATTTTTAACTAGGTCTATGTGTAATTTGTACACTATAAAAATTCGTCTGAACTAATAAGACTAATATCAAGTAAACGCCATGCAGCTTTCGGATTAAGTTCTGTAGGATCGCGACACAATACGAAATTATAAATAACACGCATTACTTTCTCGGGATCACCTTTTACAACTTTGTTCTGAGAATCTCTTATACACACAGTTTGTTGGCTTTGAAAGCAAATCCATAAAACTGGTCCCTGTTCCATTACTTTACCCCTTACTAACTCTATGTTATTTATATCTGAAATTAAACACATTTTTTTAAATATATAAATACAACATTAAAAAGGTAAGGAAGGAAGGAACTTCAAGAAATAAACATCATACCTAAAATTTTACTGTCTACGGTGCATCCTAATTTTTGTGCCTGCTTTAATGGCTGTACTATTGCATTATATGGGGCTTCATGGCACCAGTCTTTTAAAATTTCAAGATCTCCTCGCACCATAGCTTCGAGGATATTTGGTATAATGTCAGTCTCGCAATCTTTTAAAAATTGCATTCTGTCGAAATTTGGATCCAATTTACAAATTTCTGTTAATGCTTCAGAAATTTCTGACTTTTGAAATAAGTCACTAACTACATCTGTAACTTTATCTGTCAATAGTCTGGAAGCACGAATAACAGGATTATCTGATTCTTCATACTTTATCTTCCAATCCAAAACTTTATGCACATATGGATTGTTATCCTTCAAAAAATATAATTATCTGATAAGAGTACTATTATATTATTTCAAACTTAATACTTTAAAATATATACCTTAAAATTTTGCCACGATTGATAAAATTTCGAGTCTTTATGTAATTCAACTCCCATAGCTTCTTCATTCGGCGTTATACATTTATCATTTTGGTCTTGGATAATTTCCTTCCTTTTCCTTAACTTTTTGGGTGGAACATAAACGCGTCCTATAATTATTATTAAAATAAAAATGATGTGTCATTTGTTCGTATATTTAATAGGTAAAGTCATTCTAACTCACCATGCATTCCTTGATGATCCAGCTCTTCTCTCACAGCTTCTGCTGTTTGTGATATTGTTTGAAATGCACTTGTCTTTCCTAAAGCTTGACCTTTCTCGGTAATAGTTTCGGCTGCTCCTTTAGCTTTTTTACCTAATTCCGATTTACTTGCTTCTTCAATAACTTCTTGTGTCTAGTAACATAAAAATTCAAGTAATATTTAAATAACATGTACATATATAATGCAAAAGTAATTTAACTCGTACCTTTCTTTTGAAAGAATCTATTGTTTCTTTCAGTACTTCTGAACCTTTGTTGGCTTCAGATTCTACTGCTTGAAATTTTTGCCTTGCTGATTTTAATGCATCTGATTGCTCAAGTTTCTTTGCTTCCTCTCTAAATTTTTTTAAAGATTCCTTCATTTCCTTATTCTTTTGCATCTCCTGTTTGATATTCTCAACAAATCGAGCAAAAAATCCAGGTCTTCGCGCATTAGAATATAATCGAACCTAGATAAATTATTATTAATTATATATAAGTATACATTTGACAACAAAATGAAACTTACTGACTGATCTTGCATATTTGTGATCTGAGGTAACTTTGACTGTAGCAGTCCATTGTAACTATATATAAACAATTTATCATTAGAACTATGACCAAATTTTTTCTTAGATTGTGCTGAACGTGTGGCACCGATAAGGCTAGCCCTACACATTGCAAACCTCTGAAACTGAAAAAATTATTGCTATATGAGCATGTATTTTTATTCAATCCGAGTATGTATATGTTACACACTTTTCAATTTACTGTTCTCAAAATCTTATCATTCAAATAAAATAGACAATGATCTGGGTGAAAGGTAAATTATTAGTTTATTTTTTCATTAAGACATATTCATAACAAATATTAAATTCTGTATAAAATACAACTAATTGCACATAGTTATCACCAACAAACCGAAGTATGCTATGTTTGCATGTATTTGTTTAATTCGACGATGTTTCCAAAAAATAATTTAAAAAGAATAAACTGTAATTTATTAACTACGGAACATTCAAATTATATGATGTAATAATACAAATAATGTTGTAGCTGAAAGTTGTGAAAAAGAAATATAACCTCACACAGCATGTACAAAATGATCGGTTTACAAGCAAAAAGATACTGAATCCAAATTTGACTAAGAAGATAGTAAACAAGTATGTTTAATTTTTGTTCTCGCTAAAGTAGCAACCAAATGTTCAGTTAGCAATCGAAATCATTTACCATTTTACAACTGATTTATCGGAGGCGGCAGCAAAAATCTTCATAAAATTGCTGCTACTTTAGGAAGGACATCTGTCGACAAAAATTGAAACACACTACACAGAAGCATTAGATTTTTCTAGTCTTTATACATAGAAATTAGTACAATAAACTGATATAAATTAATTAAAGAATATATTCATTTATTTACTAAATAAAGAACTTTACATATATAATTAAAAATACAAAGACATTCAAAACGCTGTGCAATTCCGATAAATTGAAAGTAATGGTAACTTTGAAATATCGTTTAAGTTAATAATTCCGGTACTCTGTAGAGGAATTCCCCATCATAATCGTAGTAGCAATCCTTTACTCTGTATGTCATACCATGCTTCCACACATTTTTTGGAATTTTTATAGGTTTTATATATTCATTTTTTACATCTATACACATCCTTCTTTCTTTTATAAAAGTATCCAAACTGCTATCATGTTCCATATTTAGAGCACTTGTTACTTTTGACTCGGTATCTTTCTTTCTAACTACTAGTACATTTTCAGTTGATGTATCTCTTGGTGAAACTGTATTGTCCTTTTCATTTATTTCTTCTACAGTGTTGCTGAGTACATTAGAGTCTGTAGTCACTGTGCTTCTTGGTGAAACTGTATTATTCCTTTCATTTATTTTTTCCGTAGCGTTGCTTAGTGCATTAGAATTCGCTGTTTCTGTGCTTTTTGATTCTACATACTGTCTATACGTCTGCAATAATGTTATGCCTACTTCCGGGGATGTGTTATATAATTGCTTTAATTGATCTTTCATAAATTCATTATGAGTTAATACTTTATTGCTTGCAGTCAATTTATACTTATTATTTTGTATAATGCTAGAGTTGTTTACAGACTGTATAGACTTTTCTAGATTATTATTCTCTATGGTACTCTGTAGCCCTCCATTTTCATTCACTTTATCTTTTGAAGGAATTAATTTCTGATCACAAACAGGCTGTTTTTCATCTATATATCCTTGTACAATGTTTGAAAACAATGTACTTTTTGGTTTTGGAAATTTCATTTTTGGAGGTATAAACTCACTCAATGTTTCTCTACTACATAAAGTAATTTTTCTATTTTTAAATTTCATTAAATGTTCATGCAACATAGGATTTACTACTAATTTGCCAGTTTTTAAGTTCTTCCAATTTTCAATAACTACACTATCATATTTAATAATCTTATCTACTGATTTAGGTGTCCATTTGGACCTTAAAACACGTCTTATTGCTTCAGGTAAAGCTGGAAAGCTTTCGCTGAGCCTCTCTGGTGTCCATTCTTCGGGATTACTAGCATGCAATTTTTGTATTTGATCCTTTTCTGTAAATGTCAGAAACCTTGGTTCTTCCTCTTTAAAATATTTACTTTTCACAATGCGTTGCTTTAGTCTTTCTTTAGATTTTTTCATTTCCCTAACAAAAAATAGAAATATTTATTAATAAAAATGATTAAGAAAATAAAACAAATTAAATATGAATATGAAATATAAAATACTTTTCATAACTTTTTAAAATGTACCTTTGATGCATTGTGTATGATTTACCAACATTCATGAAGTCAGATTCGTATGCATCCATATCATCGGGATTAAATTCTTCAATATCATTTTCTGTCTCTTGCATCGTTTTTTCAAATGTAAATCTTCCTCGAACGCCAGTATTTTTGGGAAAAGATTTAGAAGAGTACAGTCTCAATAATTGAAAGACTAACCTCCTGTTGTTGTTCATTTTGAAATCTATTTTTTTCTCTTCTTCTTCTTTGACCTCTCTGAATCTTTTTAATTTCTAATTCACACACATTTCTAAAGTATTAACGATATTACACAACATTAGCACTATTATATATAGTTGTTTATCATAAATGAGGGAATATCAACGATCACAATATGCAATTGTTCACTCACTTATAATAATTTAATAATACTCATATGTACGTTTACTGAACTCTAACCTTAGCTTTAAGGAACTAACAAGCCAATTAAATTTTTTAATAATCAATTGCTTAAACGAACAATAAGAAAGAAGTCGGCAATGCGGTAAAAGACGCATGCAAGATAGAATTTTTTAGGTTATCTATATTGATGAATTCTATAGACAAACCGGACAGTGGGACGTTTCACTGAACGGAATTAAATTTCTAGATACCAATATAAACGGTAATATTGATAGAATGTTAAAAAATATTAAATTGAAATAAAGTATATTATTGGAACATGAATTTTTTCATACTTTTATTACATTCATATAAATATTATATTTATTATTATTTTATTTATTATTTATTTATACAATTAAAAGTATTATGATCAATTTATCTTAAACTTTAAATTACTAATTTATTTTATGAAAATATATACATGTATTTTATTCTAATGTTCTGCCATGCTAAAGTTATCAAATTTTCATGGAACTATACAAAATTTATAAAATCTAAGATTTACTCTTACATCACAGAAAACTACAGAATATGTCTATGTAATGGATTATAAACTTGTTACTATATGCGACGATACATTGTTATTTCATTGCTATAAAAATGGTGAACAACATTTAGTTGTATTGTTTCAGGATATGACTTGAGGCCCTTGAAATGATTGACCTTGCACGTGACTTAAGTTTTCTCCTGCATATGATAATAAAGGGGACACTTCTACATCATTTATTACACTTATTGCTCCAGCATTCAATAACCATTTTTTATGAAGTTTAAGTACATCCTTACGTGCACTACTTGGACAATCTTGACCAATGGAATCATCATTCTTAAGAGGACTAAAGTCTTCTTCACGAATTCCTTCCCAAACTGCAAATTGTTTTGCAAATTTAAATACATCAAAAACAAATTTCTCTATTTTAATACCATTCGGAGATGTAGGAATTTGTTTTTGCCCATTTGCATCTATGTATGGGATTTTTTTTTTAGCGATATGTAGTTGCATTTCCTTTTCATAGTTATTACTAATTGAAGATAGAAAGTCTACAGTAAAATAGTGGTTACATATGTTTGCAGCATTATAAACCAATTCTCCATTGTCATCGCGTAAATCAGCTGTTTCTTTTGAAATTTCACTGTACTCAACGACCTGATAAGTATCATCTACCTGTAATAACAAAAATAATATCATGCTTTACATTTTCATTGATGTTACTTCATAAGAAATTATAATGTCTATAGCCATACTTTGCACACAACTCCTACTGGTTCGCTTGGTGATGATTTTTCTATCACCTTGACTCCACAATCTGTAGATGATGATAAGCAGTATCCTAAGAAAATGGGATCTGCTACTTTTATCAGTATGTTATCTACCGAATGAACATGAACACTGCGTATTCCACGTTTGATCATATCATTCAATATCCCCTGCACTTTAATAGCATGATACAATCCTCCATTACCATCTGGTGCTTTAGAGATTTGGTGTTTTTCGTCTAAAATGATTTTTCCATCCAAGGTGAAACATGGCATCATACCTTGCTCAAAGGCTCTCACATTTTCCTCCTTTAAGTTAAAATAATTATGTTTACGTAAGAAATCAAGAGTGGTATGATGAGTTGCTCGGCTAGTCAGTATATACCTGACAAAAGGAAAGAATTATTAGTTTACTCGGAATAAACAAGTGTGCATGCATATAACTGTATACATACCAAGTAATCTCTCCTCGTTTCCCACATTTTGCTTCGGCCAGATTTTGCAAACATATTATTCTCTCCGCTTGCAATTGAAAGAGGGTCTTACCAGAAGGTAATCCAACATCATACATCCCTTTAGGGTAAGAAACTCCTAATCTGGTTCCTTGACCACCAGCCATCAGCAGCACAGCTACCTTACCATTCGCAATTTCTTGCAGGCCTAATTTCTCGTACTTTCTCAACTGTTCTTTATCCGTTTTCTTAATGGACTTGACGATCTCCGTAGGAATAGGGGATACCTTGTCGTCCAATGTACCTCTATTCACAGAAGAAGAATTATGCACAGCTCTTTTATAATACGAAGTCACTTCTGCAAGATTCAACTCTGTTATGTCCTGCAGCAGCTGGATTTTCTCATCCTCCTCCGACAGTTGATCCCAGAATTGTAACAGATGTTCTTGGCCGTATGCGGCGAGATCGTTCCGCAAGGCTTCCATGTTTCGCGCTCGTTTTTCAATTTGACAACTGAGACGACGCGTTTCCGAGGACGTTTAATCGCGAACGCTATCAACAAATTTCGCGATAAGTGTCAGCGTTGTAAGAATGCGTTCGAAAGGCGTCGTGCAACAGGTATCTTGTCAGAGCTGGTAACCTATCCCAACTCATAGGTAGAGCGGGGTAACATCACTTTCACGATTCCACGTAGCACGTTGATACGATTTCTCTTATCAGCCCCTCTCGCCCTTCCAGCCTCTTTGTCGATACTCCTTCTCCTTTCCAGCATATTTTGCTCCCACGATCGTGCGTTGCTGATCCTGACAGATCATGGTTTTTACTCGCTTTTTGCAACTCGATCGAGGACGTCGAGGCTGCAACCCCTTAAGTCTCCGTGCCTCTTATCGCCGGTTCCTATGATAGCCTATAAATAAGACATGATAAGAAAGATCACGAATTATTTAATAGTTTCACGAATATCGCGAGAACAATTCCGACCCGTTGACACTGGACGGGAGTGAAAAGTGAAAGTTGTACAGCGAGGTGCGGCATGGTGAGGCGAGGTGAGGCGGGGTGAGGCATGGTGAACCGAGGTGAGGCATGGTGGACGAGACGAGGCGAGGCGAAACGACCTTGCATTCCAACTATGCAAAACGAAAATATTCGACAGTATGACACTCACACCGACAATATCAAAAGCTTCGATCTGAAAATGTATTTGCACTTCTCCGGTCGTTTAATCTCCATCATTAACGTTCCACTTAATTGGTTGTTGACGTTGCTCGATCAATTTTAATTTACATCATTCTGTACGATGGAAATGAAGGACGTTCACATTTCCTCGGAAGAAAGTTCTGCTAACAAGTTAAATGACATTAAAGATAGGGATAGGTATTCAGACAGGTTTCACGGGGGAAAAAAATGTTCGTTTTCTTGAATTATATTTAGACGAATAACCTGTAAAAAAATAATGATTACTTTTCACCGGAGAACCGCCTACGAACAAAAATTTACTATAAAAAAATGTAAAGTAGGAGTGTAAATCTTTTGAATAAATTCTTATCAGATTTAAGCCCTTTAATCTGTTGATCGCTTGTTTACCGGCGTGCGCATGCGTACGAAGTAAATGTTCAAATAATTATAGGAGGGTGAAATGGAGAAAATTGTTAAACATTATGTATCAGGTGTACGTGCCATTTCATCGTAGTTATTATACGTGTATGCACGTGTGTGTATAAATATATATATATATATATATATATATATATATATATATATATATATATATATATATATATATATATATATGTATATGTATATATATTTATATATAATTAATGATGCAATGTATTGTAATGTAATGTAACAAGACCAGTAAACGACATCTAATGTGATTAATTAACGCAGTTTAATGTATGATCCTATGTTCGTAAATACGAATAAATGCAATGTTTCTGCACATATGAACATACCACAATGATCATTTTCTATGAAGATTAGCACGTTTTAGATAAATATTCTCTATCGTATTTTCTGGTGCATTATTGTGTCGTGAATTATTAGATACCCAGCAGCCTGATAACTTACGCTGGAAGAGACTGATACTTCGCATTGAGTCATCGAGGAACCGATGCATCTGTGTCACATAAAAATTTGTAATGCAGCGAAATTGTTTTCTGCGATGACTATAGTCAGTATTATGCAATACGCCGACAAAGCCTTGCGAGTATTTTTAACACGTCTAAGTAAATAGAATATACCGCTACGGTTCGACGCGTGATGTAAAACTTAAAACGTATCGCCAATTAAAGGTTAGTAATAGATTACGACATACGGTGGCGCTACGAAATTCTCTGTTAAAGCTCAATGCAATACAGACGTGATCTCGATATTTCATTTAAGTTACACGCGTGTTTGCCTGTGACTTACGAAGAGACATCATGTTGTACGTGGCCAAATAACATTTCTTGCGATGCCGCGGTAATATTATGGCTGTAATAAGAAGTTTCATGTAGCGATGTGATATGTTTACGCGTTCATGATACAGTACCCGCCCGTTGTAAATGTATTTCGGTGAGTTACATTTACGGCCACTTCTTATTACACACCTCCGGCGTGTATTGCTGACACGTAGGATTTCTTTTAAAAAAAATATTCGTCATCAATTGTCATGCGAGTTACACGACTGATTGGTGTATTTATCGCGACGACTATTCGGTATTATTTCATAGACCATTCGCTTTTCTCCTCCAAACTAATAAAATTTTTAACAGTAAATCTGTTGTCTATCTTCCGATTATGGCACGAACTTATTTTCTATCCTATTATCTCGGTAACATTTGTCTATTTCGATAGCGTATGCGTTCGCTATAGGTTAGGAGAAACGTCCTTGACTTGTAGAAATATTTCAAATTTGTATTGTTCATTAAAGTATTATTTTTATTTTAAAATAACAAGGCTAAGATAGACGTTCACGATTCGTTGGATTTTTTATTTCTGACACATATTTTGTTTCATGAGAATGTTGTACTGTTTAGATTTTTTTAAGTAATGCCGAACAGTATGTTCAAGCTGTCTTGAAATAAAATTGTATAAAGTCTCATTGTGTCTGTAAAAAATCAAGAGTTTCTTTCAAACAGGTTTTATTTAATCCCAATATGTATGTAATTCAGGTACCAGGTGCCTAAGAAGCAGCTGGCAAGATGGGAAAATTGTTGTCAAAGATCTTTGGCAACAAGGAAATGCGAATTCTTATGTTAGGATTGGATGCTGCTGGGAAAACTAGTATCCTTTACACGTATTCTTTTATTTACATAGAATTTTTGAAGAAGAAGTAATAATCTGTGAAGCAGTAATATGTTTTATGCCAATGTTATTTTCTTAATTATATGTTAGCGATATTATATAAACTTAAATTAGGACAGTCTGTAACAACTATACCAACTGTAGGATTCAATGTAGAAACAGTTACCTATAAGAACGTTAAGTTCAATGTTTGGGTAAGCAACATCTAATTTGTTTTGTATCGTGCAAAACTGTTGTAAATGCTTGTTATTATAGAAGATGAATTTTTGTTTTCAGGATGTTGGTGGACAGGATAAAATACGCCCATTATGGCGTCATTATTATACAGGAACACAGGGACTTATTTTTGTAGTAGACTGTGCTGATAGAGATCGAATTGATGAAGCACGCCAAGAGCTTCATCGAATTATAAATGATAGAGAAATGCGAGATGCTATAATTTTAATCTTTGCAAATAAGCAAGATCTTCCCGATGGTGAGCATCGCTATTTACATAGTGAAATGTTTGAAAATTGTGATGTACGTGTTCTTTATATTGTAATTTTCAGCGATGAAACCACATGAAATACAAGAAAAATTGGGTTTAACTAGGATACGAGACAGGAATTGGTATGTTCAACCATCGTGTGCCACAACAGGGGATGGGCTTTACGAAGGTCTTACATGGTTGACCAGTAATCATAAATTATGAGCAAATATTTATTTTTCATCAATTAGCCACATACCAAGAATGTACGTTTGCTTTGTCTTTTCATTTTTTATTTATCACGTAGAGGCTCTGTAATGCAACTGACAATGATCGCTATGATCCATAATGGAAAAGAGATCACTCAAGCATACAATTGCAAATATAAGACAACCATCAATATCAAGTGGTGCGTTTCAGTAATATTAATACTATACAAATAGAAATTTATCAAAGTACCAAAAGATATAGACTTTGTTACTAACTGTTTACTAAAGTCCATGAAAATAGTTATTACAATATTAGGTTAACATGTTCATCATTTTATCGTAATTTAAATATATGTATATGCGCGTGCGTATTGCATTATGATATTAATTATAAGAGAATATGAAAAATTATGAGCCATTTGTAGTTTTTGAGGAATGCATTTAAAGAAAAGGCAAATACCTTTGTAACTTCAAATGAACGTTTATACAATAATTGATTTAAATTGTCGTGCTTCATCGATTATTGTTGATATATGTAAGTAAACATTCAAAGGACTTACATTAATGGTTTGATATAATACCAAAATATTATACATCGATAAAATTTTGTTATTATCCAGATGCTTCAAGCATTTCTATAATTTGGTTTGTCTTTCTTTATTGTGATTGTCTTCCAATTCTGTCATATCTTAACGCATATCAGCCGATTTTCATTCATTTCAAATTTCTTTATATACCGTCGTGTGTATTTTATTCTGTTCTATTAAAGTGAATTATAATACACATAGAGACACACACATACAGAGTGGTGAGGTTGTTCTGTACGCACAAATGATAAGCTGCAAGGTTTAGTACAATACAACAGTTATAATCTGTTATTATTGCAAGCTCAAAACAAAGAAAGGAAGAAGAAAGAAAATTAAGAACAATGTTATTAACGTAACAGCATTAAATTTGCCAATATTTTTTACCAGTTAAGCAGATTAAATAATGCAGAATTAGAATTAGGTTTCAAGGGAAAGAGTCAGTACATGTTTACTGTGAGTCTCATTTTTTTCTTTTTTAAATAATAATCTGTAGAATAAGATGATATGTGTATTTACCAATATTCAATATTAATTCTTCAAAAGAAGAAGAACCTTATCGACATTCAAATTCCATTTTTTTATGGGTTTCATATTTACAGAATACAATTAAGAACAGAGTAATAATGGTATGTTACTCTTTAAATTAATTGCTATATCAATATTTTAATTTGCATTCCACGATTATATTAAGGCATTAGAATTTTAACAGATTGTATTACTTTATATAAACAATCGATAATGATACGAAGATATAAGTTTGTCAGATTCTTTTCTTTGGCATCCGTACCAATTAATATTTAACCCTCGGATGCTTGAATAGGGTCATAGAGGAATTTGGGTAATTTTGACCCATAGTAAATTTTTGGCGAACTCATTTCGAAAGAAGGTATCATAACTATGGCAGAATAAATGCGTCATTCTTTATGGTACAGTGATAAGAACCGACTCCTTAACAGTCGATTATCACAACCGGCGGGTTAATAAGATCTGACTTTCGCTGGGTAGGAGTTAAATCTTATAATCAATGAAAAATAATTAATTGATATTTATGGCCACGGACCAGCTTTGGGAAAGCAGTAAACGTACTACTTCTAGGTACGTTCATTAGTACTAAACAGTGTTCTATGGCTGTACATATTTATATTGCATTATTACTGTCAGTTTTGTGTTCATATAAAAGAATTATTGTGTCATTTTTTTTCTTTTGTTTTAATTATAAGCAAAACAAACAAAATATTTGTAGCAGGAATAGTACTGTTGAAGACTAATTGATAGAAGAACATGTTCCATTATTATGAAGTGCTTATAGTCGGAAGATTTTGGTAATAATAAACTTCGTTTGAACGAACGAGATACTTATAATTGCTTTATATCTAACATTAAAGAAATTGAATGTGAAGTATGTACGACGTAATTTTCAATGAATAGAATTTTCTAGTATTAAAATAATACTATAAGTGTAATAACATGGTAGTTTATATTGGAAGATACTTTTATACATTCAACGTAGTTGTTACTAAGAGTTGCTAAATTTGTTCTTAATGCGAAATTGGTTGTTACTTCTATTTTCTACATTAAATATTTAATAATTGAATTTCATTCCCAATAGAATATTGTTTTTATGTGAATATAATTTGTAAGGAACGTTTCATAATCATGGAATACACATTACACTGTTAAAACTCTGAAGTTTGATTATATGACTCTAACGAGCATTTTAATAACTTTCATTTTAATGAGAGAGCGAGTTTCATC